CTCCACGTGAGCAACACAGTTTATTGTTTCTTTAGAGGTTTTTGTATTCATAATAGAAAAGTCATCTCGCTGTGTTTGATATTATGAAAAATTTGTGAAACCAAATTATGTGAAGAGATAAGATAGCCGCTTGGAAGAGTAGACCATTTCAATCATTATGTTTATGATATACATAAACTAAGTTTACTTTGAACGAAAAATATTGATTTTTAGGGGAAAATGTCTTTTTACATGCAAATAAAGTTAGTTTTCACATAAAACAAATAAATAAACAATGGTAATTTTGAAAATCTGAAAACAAACTCAAACTTATTTTTTTTTTTAAATAAATCTTATCTTCTATATATTAATTGAGGAATTGAAGAGATAGTAAGGTGAAAATCCTATGTGTCATTCATTAAGGATTTCAAAGAAGATGTTATTTAAATTAACCAATGAAAATATTTCAATTAATTATATATATTTTTATTAATTTTAGAGAAATTTCAAAAAATGCCACTTTTCAAGTGCCACTTTACAAAAATACCACACTTTTGAAATCTTTACAAAAATGCCATTTTTTAAAAATTATTTTTTCTTTATATTATTTATGTTTGAGTTAATTATGTTCTATTAGGGTTTAGTTTTGAGTGTTTAGGAGGTTTTAGGTGTCAAAACATTTTTTAGGGTTTTAAATTTAAGATGTAGACTTTATAAATCTATAATTAGTGGTATTTTTGTAAATCGACATCCCTAAGTGGCATTTTTGCAAATGTGCACACAAAAAGTGGCATTTTTGTAATTACCTCTTAATTTTATAGCATAAATCTTTTCATACATGTTTTGCAAATCCAAATCCAACTAAATGTAATATTTAGAATTATCATTTCATCTATTTTTAAAACTTCTTTTATATTTGTAAAACTTTTTATTATATTATTTGTAACAATATTATTTATTGTATATATATGTATTTAGATTAATATGATATATAAAATATTTACACATTTTATTATTGAAAAAATATATATTGTTTTTCGTTTATTATGTCCGACAAATTCATATAAATCTAAAATTTATCTGATTTATCGCATGCTCTATAATTTACATGAATAATAAAAATTAATTTTACACTTAAAATATATTGAATAAATAAAATTTTCATATATTCTGATCAATTGCACATAAAATATTAAAACTGATGGCATCAAAATATGTTATATCAAAATTTAACTTGATTATACTTATGCACAATGCATATCATTTTGTAAGTTTATAAAGGTTAGAAATCATATGATTTGTCAGATACATTTACATATTAAAATATATTTAATAATTTAATCTAATGCTTGGTATGAGTCAAA